GAGCTCAGAGAACTTCCCTGGTGCAGCGTTTGATATGTATCTTCATTTCTGAGCATGTAGTCACTGCAAATAATGAAACACAAATGAGAGCTTGTTCCACATACAATTTTTATTCAAGAAACATAATAAGATGTTGTTAACAAAATTGAAGCACCAAGTAATAAACACCTCAGAGGCCAAGAAATGCTCTGAGTCAAAGGTTTCCTGAGTTTACACAGGAAAACTCAAAAGCTGGCCCATTAGAAACATTCAAGCAAAATAAGGCATAAGGGACATAGCAAAATATCACACAACTGGAGGTGTATTTTTCTAATTCAAAATTGGTAGGAGAACGATTCTCATTGGCTGCACTTGGGTAGTGAGAAAACCAAGCAGTATTAACCTGGGGAATCCGGAGCCTAGAAAACAAGATGTGCAGAGGTATCAGAGGAAAGGTGCCTGCTGCAGAGACCACCAGCCTGGGACTATTGGCTTCTACACTGTAGGGCACAAGACACAGAACATACATATTACGACACTGTGACCTTAGGTAATATTTCAGGAGCTCTCACTCCAGAGAGTACAAAAGCAGATACAGTAAGTCCTCAGTTAACATCATTGACAGGTCTCTGGAAACTTTAAGTGAAATGACCTAGACTGAGAGCAATGTGACCACAGGCGAATTGACATCCACAAGAGGAAGTTCCCATGGCCTATTTCTGGTCAAAATACTATGACCAAATTTCTAAAGGCAGACCCCCACCCAAAACATTTCATTCATTCATTTCCTAAATGACTTATTCCAGTTCAGGGTTGAGGAGGTCAGAGAATCTCAGGGCACTCAGGGCAAAAGGCAGGAACCAAGTCTGCACCGGAAGCCCTCCTACAGAGGGGCACTCAAGCCCACCGTCACTCAGAGTGGGACAATTTAGACATGCCAATGAACCTCACCTGTGTATCTTTGGTGCTTGGGAAGAAACCCAAGCAGACGTGGGGAGGATACTCGAGATCCACACAGTGGCCTGAACTGGAATTGATGTTTCCCTCATAAAAGTTAGGACAAAATTATGTTATTTGAGGTCCTTATGTACTATGAACCAAGCAAGCACCCCCATGTACAAATCAAACCCCAAATCACAGTCCCCAAAGCCAATCTATTCATATCAAGAAATAACAAAGCTTTGGTGCCGCTCCTCAAGTGCAGTCTTGCAGGTGAAGTACATGTCCCCTGCAGAAGTGCTGCAATACTTTGACATTCAAAACAATAGTACTAAGGTATAGCATTGAACACTGAGATTATAAAACATTGCACACAACTGGAATAATCAGAAACACAAGTATTGAAACAGGAAATGTCATTACCCATTTGCCCAGTAGAAGGAATTTCCACAGTGGTCCCTGAAGTATAAGAGCATGTGAGAGGACCACACACCCACAATCACTGGAGGTTCCAGGCTCACCTCTAACCCCATGGTCTGAGACATCGGTTCAGGACATAGAAGGAGGAACCAAGTGGCTGGCTCCTGGTAGGAGGCATATTGCACACCTTGGAGATCAGCACCCCAACTGAACAGCCTGTACTCTCCACACTCACAGCAGACAGAAGGCCTTGCGCCATTCTGCACGGCTACTTGATCTGACTGAGGGCGACCGAGAGCAGTGCATCCACGTAGGGTTCAATGAAAACGTGCCAACCCATGCTCTTTTGCCAACTGGCGAAGAAGCGGTAGAGTACGTCTGCAAGAACAGGAGGCCAGGGAAGCCCGGCAGCCCCACCTAAATGTGAGCTGGGAGGCCCTCATTTGAAGCAGACAGTCATCTCCATGCTGTGTTCGCACACAGTCTAGTGGAATGAGAAGCCAAATTCAAATCCAGGCCCATCTACAGAAGGCTGTTCCATTGCACACGCGTGCACACAGCCTGCACAGGCTTTTCACCCTCTGTTGGAAAGATGGACACACTATAGGTCCATAACGGGGGGTCTCAGTCCCCACCTCCACCAAGGATCTCTGAGGTCCTGTGGTTCACAAGCAGCAGAGATGAAACCGCTAGTGACAGGGAGGGTTTGTCTCCTGACTCAACAGCCACAACCATAATCTTAGCCTGAACCTGATGAGCACCGGAAAGAGAAAGTTCCATCAAAGCCAGGGCCAAAGGAGCCGGAGGAGATACATGAATACAGGGATCGTCTCACAACTCAATAGCCATATCCACAAACTCAGCTTGAATCTGATGAGCACTGGAAAGAGAAATTTCCATCAAAGCCAGGGCCACACGAGCCAGAAAAGGGACATGAATATCAAAAATCTGAAAAATGCTTTGGCTCATGACGCACTCTGTCAACAGAAGCAAGCCCGGCTTTCCTCAAATCCCTCACATTATTTGCCTTCGAGCAACATACAGCATGACAAGCAATACAAAACACTACACGGAAGCAGGAAGATGCAGCAAGCGTCGCCTGCAGAGAAAGCCCATCCTGCACGGACAGGCAGAAAACGAGGATCTGCCCACCCCATAAAGGTCTGAAGTTCGCAAAGGGCCTGTTTCTCATGTCATATACATCCACGGGCCTTGCTAATTCTGCGCCCAGCTGTGCCGGCCAACAGGTAGCCGGGGAGAGTGGGGACCGGGAACAGTACACACAGCCTGAACCCACAATGCCCCTCGCAACACTGACAGCGGTCTCCTTTCCTGCCCTTCCTGTTTCCTGATGCCCTCAGAGTGCCCCCCTATCTCCAGGGGTTCACAATGAGTCCACTGCATTTCTGACTAGTGGTAGTAATGGGGAACTACGGCACCGCTCCCCCCACAAACAACCCACTACCGCTGCATCTCCCACTGCTGGGTCTCCCACAGCTGCATTTCCCATAATCCTAGCCATGTGCAGTTGACAACTAGCACGACGACTTTTCCTTGAGGGTAGGCTGAGAGCCCCTGAGGCTTGCAACTGCCCAATGTGAAGAAAGAATCACAGAAGAGCTGGAACACCAAGCATCCATACCTTGTGGCATCAAGGTCTTCAGCAACTGCAGCCACCTAGGGGCCCCAAGGCTTTGTCCATTCTTGAGAAGAATGCACTTGCCCTGTGAGCGCTGTGATTTGGGGATTGGTTGGGACAAAGCATCCATAACTTCTGGCTGACAAAAGGGAGAAGGAAAGCTAGAGCCTGTGAGGAGAGGCTAGTCCTCTCCAGCAAGAGGATTTCAGGAGGCTCATCCTGCCGCCTGGTGGCTTGATCAGGGAAGTTCCTGATAATCAGGCCCATCTGCAAATGCTCCTGAAGACGCAAACAGGGCCAGTGACAAGCAATGTCCCAAACAAGGCCCACACGTTTCTCTACCCACCAAGGTGCAGAGGAAGGGCAGCAGGTGCGTGCTGACAACAAATCGGCAAATGCTCCAACTGTATTCCCTGCCAGACTTCTGGATTTCTGATGATTGCCACATGCCTCCCCTCTGTGAACAGGATGTCACACTGCTGGGACATTCGAGTCAGAGCACACACGCCCGGCAACAGGTCTGGGCCAATTTTCTCCCCAGAGCCCCAAGGTCCTCAAACCCTAGAGGCTGCCAAGTTCAGCATGTGCTTCCTCTAGGAATGCGTCATCAGACACTTGTGACTTGGGAGTGTTCAAGAAGGAGTGTCTGTGCACATACTGCACAGATGCAGTATGTGGAAAGAGTTTTCAGCAAACTCAGCTCACGTTCCTTTGTGACTCTGTGCGACACAGCCCGCTACCACTATGCAAGGGTGGGCAGTCAAACCACCCAGAAAAAGCAGATGCCTTCGAGGAGACTTGTGACGAATCCCCTCGGAGAAAACACTACATGGCTCATGGGGGAAGGCAGTACACAGCAGGAGGCAAAAAGAACAAAGACTCCCAACACCAAAGCCCAGAACTCCCAAAGCTGCTGTAAAGCAAGGAACATCACCCATCAGGACTCTCCACTTTGAAGAGGGCGCCACGTTCTCACGTCATACGCAAAGATGTGAGCTGTGGTCTTCCGTCCCTCATTGATGCCAACCCCAGGTGTTCCAGGGATGTGGCAATGAGCAGGAGTCACTCCTAGGAAACAGAATTTCCCCATTTACATCGGGGCTGACAGGAGTGTGCAGTGAGCTGGAGACACCTGGCACAGAGAATTACCCCTGTCACCTTCAGGGCCGGCTTAGCCTATCCGACGCTCCTGCTCCGAGACCATACGGCAGAAAGCCATTCTTCCTAGGCCTCTCCCCACCTCTGAGTGTTAGCCCCGGAAGGGATGGCCATATCAAGGCCCTCTCCCTTTGGAGACTCTCCCATCTACAGTGCTTCTCCTGAAAAGAACCGACAATCAAAAGTGGGGAGAGAACCAGTCATGAATCCATTTTTCAGTTCACGATGTGTTCTCCTCTGTACACTGGTAAGGCCACTAAGGGAAAGAGCCGGGGCCTTCTCAAAATATGAAAAACAGCACTATCGTTCTTTTCAATAGCCAGGCTGTGGAAACAACCCAGGTAACAACCAGCGGATAAAAGGATGGGGACGTGGTACACACAGGTACCTACAACAAAGATATGAAAAGGTACATATTCCATTTCAAAGACCTTGTTTGTCTAAAATGTCACAAGAACCCATCCTGTGGACCAAGAAAGCACTCCCACATCCAAACAAATGCCCAAACCACAGACCCCAGAGGCCAATCCCTTCTGTCAACATATAGCTAAGCCCTGGGGCGGCTCCTCAAGTGCCATCTTCCAGGTGAAGTTCATGGCCCCTGTAGAACAGCTGCAATACTTTGAGATTCAGAAACATTTGGATTATGGGTTAGCCTTAAACATCTTGAACACAAAGTATTGCATACCAAGAGAAGAATCAGAAAGCACAGGTAGTGAAGCTGTAAATGGCATTACCCATCCCCCCAGCAGAAGGAATCCCACCAGTGCCCCCTTAATAAAAGAGCATGTGAGAGGACCACACACCCACAATCACTGGAGGTTCTAAGCTCACTCTAACCCTATGGTCTGAGACATCAGTTCAGGACACAGGAGGAAGAGCCAAGTGGCTGGCTCCTGGTAGGAGGCATATTGCGCACCTTGAGGGTCAGCACCCCAACTGAACAGCCTGTACTCTCCACACTCACAGCAGACAGCAGTCCATCAAGGCCTTGCGCCATTCTGCACGGCTACTTGATCTGACTGAGGGCGACCGAGAGCAGTGCATCCACGTAGGGTTCAATGAAAACGTGCCTACCCATGCTCTTTTGCCAACTGGCGAAGAAGCGGTAGAGTAGTTCTGCGAGAACAGGAGGCCAGGGAAGCCCGGCAGCCCCACCTAAATGTGAACTGGGAGGCCCTCATTTGAAGCAGACAGTCATCTCCATGCTGTGTTCGCACACAGTCTAGTGGAATGAGAAGCCAAATTCAAATCCAGGCCCATCTACAGAAGGCTGTTCCATTGCACGCGCGTACACACAGCCAGCACAGGCTTTTCACCCTCTGTTGGAAAGATGGACACACTAAAGGTCCATAATGGCGGGTCTCAGTCCTCACCTCCACCAAGGATCTCTGAGGTCCTGTGGTTCACAAGCAGCAGAGATGAAACCTCTGGTGCCTGGGAGGGTTTGTCTCCCAACTCAACAGCCACAACCATAATTTCAGCCTCAATCTGATGAGCACCGGAAAAAGAGTAAGTTCCATCAAAGCTAGGCCCCCTCGAGCCGGAGGAGCTACATGAATACAGGGATCGTCTCCCAACTCAATAGCATAAGCAGAAACGCAGCCTGAATCTGATGAGCACTGGAAAGAGAAAGTTCCATCAAAGCCAGGGCCACACAAGCCGCAAAAGGTCTTGAATACGGGGATGGTTCCCAACTCAAGAGCCATAACCACAAACTCAGCTAGAAGCTGCTGAGCACTAGAAAGAGAAAGTTATATCAAAGCCAGCGCCGCAGGAGCCGGTAAAGGGACATGAATATCAAAAATCTGAAAAATGCTTTGGCTCATGACGCACTCTGTCAACAGAAGCAAGCCCGGCTTTCCTCAAATCCCTCACATTATTTGCCTTTGAGCAACATACAGCATGACAAGCAATACAGAACACTACACGGAAGCAGGAAGATGCAGCAAAGTGTCGCCTGCAGAGAAAGCCCATCCTGCATGGACAGGCAGAAAATGAGGATCTTCCCACCCCATGAAGTTCTGAAGTTCGCAAAGGGCCTGTTTCTCATGTCTTATACATCCATGGGCCTTGCTAACTCTGCGCCCAGCTGTGCCGGCCAACAGGTAGCCGGGGAGAGTGGGGACTGGGAACAGTACACACAGCCTGAACCCACAATGCCCATCGCAACACTGACAGCGGTCCCCTTTCCTGCCCTTCCTGTTTCCTGATGCCCTCAGAGTGCCCCCCCTATCTTGGGGGGTCCACAATGAGTCCACTGCATTTGTGACTAGTGGTAGTAATGGGGATCTACGGCACCGCTCCCCCCTCAAACAACCCTCTACTGCTGCATCTCCCTCTGCTGGGTCTCCCACAGCTGCATTTCCCATAGTCCTAGCCATGTGCAGTTGGCGCCTAGCACAACGACTTTTCCTTGAGGGTAGGCTGAGAGCCACTGAGGCAATGCAACTGCCCAATGCCAAGAAAGAATCACAGAAGAGCTGGAACACCAAGCATCCACACCTTGTGGTCAAGGACTTCCAGCAACTACAGCCACTTAGGGGCCCCAAGGCTTTGTCCATTCTTGAGAAGAATGCACTTGCCCTAGGGTGCTGTGATTTGGGGATTGGTTGGGACAAAGCATCCATAACTTCTGGCTGACAAAAGGGAGAAGGGAAAGCTAGAGCCTGTGAGGAGAGCCTAGTCCTCTCCAGCAAGAGGACTGGGAGGCTCATCCTGCTGCCTGGTGGCTTGACCAGGGAAGTTCCTGAGAATCAGGCCCATCTGCACATGCTCCTGAAGATGCAAGCAGGGCCAGTGACTAGCAATGTCCCAAACAAGGCCCACACGTTTCTCTACCCACCAAGGTGCAGAGGAAGGGCAGCAGGTGCGTGCTGACAACAAATCGGCAAATGCTCCAACTGTATTCCCTGCCAGACTTCTGGATTTCTGATGATTGCCACATGCCTCCGCTCTGTGAACAGCACGTCACACTGCTGGGACATTTGTGCCAGAGCACACACGCCCGGCAACAGGCCTGGGCCAATTTTCTCCCCAGAACCCCAAGGTCCTCAAACCCTAGAGGCTGCCAAGTTCAGCGTGTGCTTCCTCTAGGAATTTGTCATCAGACACTTGTGACTTGGGAGTGTTCAAGAAGGAGTGTCTGTGCACATACTGCACAGATGCAGTATGTGGAAAGAGTTTTCAGCAAACTCAGCTCACATTCCTCTGTGACTCTGTGCGACACAGCCCGCTACCACTATGCAAGGGTGGGCGGTTATACCACCCAGAAACAGAGCAGATGCCTTCGAGGAGACTCGTGAAGAATCCCCTCGGAGAAAACACTACATGGCTCATGGGGGAAGGCAGTACACAGCAGGAGGCAAAAAGAACAAAGACTCCCAACACCATAGCCAGAACTCCCAAAGCTGCTGTAAAGCAAGGAACATCACCCATCAGGACTCTCCACTTTGAAGAGGGCGCCACGTTCTCACGTCATACGCAAAGATGTGAGCCGTGGTCTTCCGTCCCTCATTGATGTCAACCCCAGGTGTTCCAGGGATGTGGCAATGAGCAGGAGTCACTCCTAGGAAACAGAAATTCCCATTTCCGTCGGGGCTGACAGGAGTGTGCAGTGAGCAGGAGACACCTGGCACAGAGAATTTCCCCCGTCACCTTCAGGGCCGGCTTAGCCTATCCGACGCTCCTGCTCCGAGACCATACGGCAGAGAGCCATTCTTCCTAGGCCTCTCCCCACCTCTGAGTGTTAGCCCCGGAAGGGATGGCCATATCAAAGCCCTCTCCCTTTGGAGACTCTCCCATCTACAGTGCTTCTCCTGAAAAGAACCGACAATCAAAAGTGGGGAGAGAACCAGTCATGAATCCATTTTTCAGTTCACGATGTGTTCTCCTCTGTACACTGGTAAGGCCACTAAGGGAAAGAGCCGGGGCCTTCTCAAAATATGAAAAACAGCACTATCGTTCTTTTCAATAGCCAGGCTGTGGAAACAACCCAGGTAACAACCAGCGGATAAAAGGATGGGGACGTGGTACACACAGGTACCTACAACAAAGATATGAAAAGGTACATATTCCATTTCAAAGACCTTGTTTGTCTAAAATGTCACAAGAACCCATCCTGTGGACCAAGAAAGCACCCCCACATCCAAACAAATGCCCAAACCACAGACCCCAGAGGCCAATCCCTTCTGTCAACATATAGCTAAGCCCTGGGGCCGCTCCTCAAGTGCCATCTTCCAGGTGAAGTTCATGGCCCCTGTAGAACAGCTGCAATACTTTGAGATTCAGAAACATTTGGATTATGGGTTAGCCTTAAACATCTTGAACACAAAGTATTGCATACCAAGAGAAGAATCAGAAAGCACAGGTAGTGAAGCTGTAAATGGCATTACCCATCCCCCCAGCAGAAGGAATCCCACCAGTGCCCCCTTAATAAAAGAGCATGTGAGAGGACCACACACCCACAATCACTGGAGGTTCTAAGCTCACTCTAACCCCATGGTCTGAGACATCAGTTCAGGACACAGGAGGAAGAGCCAAGTGGCTGGCTCCTGGTAGGAGGCATATTGCCCACCTTGAGGGTCAGCACCCCAACTGAACAGCCTGTACTCTCCACACTCACAGCAGACAGCAGTCCATCAAGGCCTTGCGCCATTCTGCACGGCTACTTGATCTGACTGAGGGTGACCGAGAGCAGTGCATCCACGTAGGGTTCAATGAAAACGTGCCTACCCATGCTCTTTTGCCAACTGGCGAAGAAGCGGTAGAGTAGTTCTGCGAGAACAGGAGGCCAGGGAAGCCCGGCAGCCCCACCTAAATGTGAACTGGGAGGCCCTCATTTGAAGCAGACATTTGAAGCCCTCATTTGAAGCTGTGTTCGCACACAGTCTAGTGGAATGAGAAGCCAAGTTCAAATGCAGGCCCATCTACAGAAGGCTGTTCCATTGCACGCGCGTGCACACAACCTGCACAGTCTTTTCACCCTCTGTTGGAAAGATGGACACACTAAAGGTCCATAACGGGGGGTCTCAGTCCCCATCTCCACCAAGGATCTCTGAGGTCCTGTGGTTCACAAGCAGCGTAGATGAAACCGCTAGTGACAGGAAGGGTTTGTCTCCCGACTGAACAGCCACAACCATAATCTCAGCCTGAACCTGATGAGCACCGGAAAGAGAAATTTCCATCAAAGCCAGGGCCACGCGAGCCGGAAAAGGGACATGAATATCAAAAATCTGAAAAATGCTTTGGCTCATGACGCACACTGTCAACAGAAGCAAGCCCGGCTTTCCTCAAATCCCTCACATTATTTGCCTTTGAGCAACATACAGCATGACAAGCAATACAAAACAGTACACGGAAGCAGGAAGATGCAGCAAAGCGTCGCCTGCAGAGAAAGCCCATCCTGCACGGACAGACAGAAAATGAGGATCTGCCCACCCCATAAAGGTCTGAAGTTCCCAAAAGGCCTGTTTCTCATGTTATATAAATCCACGGGCCTTGCTAACACTCCGCCCAGCTGTGCCAGCCAACAGGTAGCCGGGGAGAGTGGGGACTGGGAACAGTACACACAGCCTGAACCCGCAATGCCCATCACAACACTGACAGCGGTCCCCTTTCCTGCCCTTCCTGTTTCCTGATGCCCTCAGTGTGCCCCCAAATCTCCTGGGGTCCACCATGCGTCCGCTGCATTTCTGACGGTGGAGAGTCATGGGGAATCCACTGTACTGCTCCCCCCTCAAAAAGCCCTGTACAGCTGCATCTCCCACAGCTGCTTTTCCCACAGCTGCTTTTCCCATAGTCCTAAACCATGTGCAGTTGACGCCTAGAACCACAACTTTTCCTTGAGGGTAGGCTGAGAGCCTCCGAGGCAATGCAACTGCCCATCAACACCCTCATCTTTGCCTGAGGGCCCTGTGGTCTCAAATCACACTCAAAGACGTGAGCCGTGGTCTTCTCTCCCCCAGTTATGTCTAACCCGGCTAGTATCAGGGATGTGGCAATGAGCAGGAGACAGGTATGGCCAAGTAGAATTTCCCTATTCAGTCAGGGCTGACACGAGCTGTGGCAGTGAGCAGGAGACACCTGAGCCAGGCAATGACCCCCTTGCCTTTCAGGGCTGTCTTTTCTATCCCATGCTCATTCTCTGAGAGCATCCAACAGAGAGCCATTCTTCATAGGCCTCTCCCCTCCTCTGGGTGTTAGGCCCCTGACGGGATGGCCATCTCAAGGCCGTCATCCTATCTTTTCTCATCAGGGAAGTCCCTGTCCCTTTCTGACACTCTAAACTCTATACTTTTCTTTAAAGCAGCCTAAAATCAAAGTGCCTGGCAAATGAGTCTTGAAAGCCATTTACGTCTAGGCCTGTTTCCGTACCAGGTATGTCCACCACTTCGCATACAAATCTGTATCGTGTACATAAGCATATGGGAAAGAAACGAAGACACAGAGATCTGGGTAACCACGTCAGACATGAAAACATTCCCTAAGAAGGTGCTCACAGCTTAGGGAGTAACGCCACCGGGAAAGCGCCAGCTGAACTCCCATTTGAGTTGCCCGGGTCCCGAATTTTCGGCTATTGCTTTGACAAGGTAATGACCCATCTCTCTAGCATCAACAGTTCTGCAAAACGTAGACAGCAGTAGTACTTAAGTTTTCAGGGCTTGGGGGGACTAGGTAAGAAGTCACAGAAAAGAAGTGAGCACGGACCTTGGCTCTGTGAAGCTCTCTGTCTGTGGGAGGGGCAGCTCTTTTCCGACTTGCATCATGACCACCATCATAACCACCGAGTCATCAGTCTGTCCCGGTGACTGACACGCCTCTCAAAGTGACTGTTGCTGTGCCAATCACACTACTGTCTGCATGTGAGGGGGAATCGGTGTAACAAGGCCCATACTCCATTTCCAAAACCTTGCCACAGTATCCATCCTTTTTCTATTACCCGTATAAATAAGGGGCAGCGACAAACGGTTCAGGAAAATGGGAGTTTGAGGTATAATATTTCACACCAAGAAATTACGGTACATTACGATTCCTAACCCAGGAAGAGGAAAAACTCTTTGGGTATATGCCTTGTAATGCTAAGTGACAAGGCAGCTTAGTGCTCTTTGAAAACATTTTACAATAGTGCATTTTTCGTCAGCACACTTCCCCACCTCTCAGTTTCTCAAATGCCTTCACCTGAATGTCAGTGAATTACTCCCCACACAGAACACAAGTGGTTGACCTGGAAAAGCATAGAGTGGAGACCTCTGGCACTGCCTGTGGACAGGCACCCTCTGGCCTGCATAGTGCACACGCCCTAGAAAGTCCTTCCAGGTGCTGGCTGCTGAGCCATCCCAGTCCATCCGAACAGAAGGTGGCTGAGGTTAAGCAAAGCCTGGGCTCCTGGGATGCCTCTAGCTTCACAGCAGGATTAAAGAGGGGTGATTTCTAAGAGGATGCTTGAGTCACTCCAGAGGCAACTTGCTGGCCCTATGAAAGGAAACATAAAAGTTTAATGAAATGTGGCACCGTCTACAGAGCTTGGATGGAGGTGCGTGGGCAGCTGCTGGGAGAAGAGCTAAAGCAAGTACCATAAACATCTGCTCCCACATGTGCATTCAGGACTAGGGTACTGATTCCTTGAGCGTCACCTGCGCGCTAAGCACTTAACAGCGGGGACCACAGTTCAGCCTCACGACATCATGATATCGTGGTACGATTCCCACCGTGCAAAGGAGGAAACTGAGATTCAAAGATGAAAGTGAAAAGAACCGTGAGACTTTGAGGCTCAGAGACAGGAGACTGTTTGTGAATGAATCATGATGTGCGGTCCCAGCAAGGTCTGAAAGCAAAGACGGGCCGAGAATGCTGGCAGGTGAAGCTGAAGGAAATACTGGCCTCTGTGTTATCTTAATCGTTAGCCTATGTCTCCAGGACCCCTACCACATGTAACTGCTCCCCCTACAACTGTGGGGGTAGACTGGTAACTACCATTTCCCACCACCTCCTTGGCCCACAGGCCCCACCTTTACCCTTTTTTCACACACAGAAATGCTTCAAAATACCTTCTGATCGACGTTCTCTCTCATTCTAGGAAAAGAGACACCTGAGCAGCACTCCCACGATTCCTGCATTCCCAAAGTTGCTTTCGACAGTCCAGTCCAGTCCAGTCCAGTCCAGTCCACCTCGATGCCGCCTGCTACTGCCAGAATTTGCAGCCCGAATAAAAAAATCCATCAGAACTTTGACGGTAGAATTTCGAGATGAGCCCATTTTGAAAGCTGACATTCGAATAAAGTCAATGTGACCGTAACAAGAGCACCCACAGTGGACAGAGGAACACAAATAGGACTGGGGAAACAAACATGTCACTGCCCGGTGAAAGAAATTGTAGACATAGGGTTTCTACCACAGCGTTGGTGAACAGTGCCCAGACAGTTTCTATCTCAGAGACACAGGGAAGGGGCTTCAACCCCATTTGAAACGATACCCAGGAGAGAGGAGACGGGAGCTAGCCTCCACCCAACGCCTTGGCAGTATATAACAAAAGGTCGCTCTTACTTGTCTGGTGGTTCTGCACCCTTGGTTCTGGTTTCACTCTCTTCTCATCACAGGCCCCTAGGCTGGTCAGTACTGGACTTTTCCATCACAGGCCCTGAAGGAAGTAGTGATTACACAAGTCTGAAAGAGACTTACCTGTGGCTACGGAGCTTAGCATAACTGCAAGAAAGTTGGGTAACTTGGAAACTCACAGAGGTGGGTGTTTGGGACAAACATCCACTTTACCTTAAGCCGGGGAGCTTCAAGGAGAGGAAAACACTTGGTCAGTCTGAGTTTCCACTCATGTAGTCTATACCAAGCAGAGTAGGCCAGATGTTATCGAAGATAAGGTAAGACAGAAGTGCTGGTCACAGGCCTGGCTGCCCCTTGAAAATGAACCACAGCTCCTCCTGTTTTTACCAAGCATCCCAGGGGAATGATGCTGATTTACAGTGAGAGGCAATGCCACTAAACTGGAGACAGGAATGGCAGAGAAAAGTCTACTTCTCTCCCCTGTAGGCACAAGGAAACCGCTTATGCAAAACTATAGGCAACCAACCGCTAGAATGCCTGTTGTGTTCTCCTCACTTTGTCATCCATTACTGACACTCATTTGCCATGCAAGTGGGTGGGTAAAACATTTCCGGTGGGTTTCAAGTCTTTGTTACCAAATGCTCACAGTAACAGACTGTGAAATAAACACCGCCTGAATGCAAACTTGGTGTGTTGGTGTCAGCAATCGATAACATAGTAAGTTGGGACATTTCTTACATAGGAATGAACGGGAAAAAAAAAAAAACAACCACATAGAACAGCCTCATGGAGAATTCCATGTATAAATAAGTATATTAACATGTGAAACTGAACATGGTGTTCAGTGAAAACGTGGAGAAAACAATGAAAATGTGGAGCAGTTGTGAATACATCAGACATCTGGGGCATTTGCTCCACACATTTGCAAGTGTGCCCCTCAGACACTATGGGCAATGGGCAGTTAATCAAAGTGCCTTCATTGCACACTTAGACATTGTTCAAGCTCTAGAGCCCGGCTAGTTGGGATCCCAATTCCTGAAAACTGCTTTCCTGGCAGGACCAGGGACACAGATCAAGGAAAACTGAAATACCAGCAATGAATTCCTTCACACGTCTAAAATGTAATGGAGGTGGATTGGGGGATACCCATGTCATGACAATGCCAGGGCCTTTTCAACATGGAGTAATACACAAGATTCCAGTCAATGTCAAGAATCAAGCAGCTAAAATGCTAATAGTAAGCAAACTCAACCATCCTCCTCACCCCGAGGAAGTAACTGTTTAATTGGACACCAAGTATCAGTTCACTCCCGGGGAGGAAGGTCCTCAGGGTTGGAGTACACAAAGAGTTTGCCTGTGTTTGAATTGCCCCTTTGGAAAACACCTCGGGTGCCACACCGGAAGGAGGCAGGAGCATAAAGGGGCTGGCACAGCCGATTCCTTAAGTCACTGAGCTAGCACCTGGGGTTTAAGGCACAGTTGTGGCTCGTGACCAAGGAGGCAGGTCAGCACCCTCTGCCATGGGGGCGGAAGGAGCAGCATGTCCAGTCTGGACCAGGGGCTCAAGCCAGGAGCGTGGGCGTGGTCCTGGGCCAGACTGGGCAGGCGTACTTTTTTTTCCTATGGCAGAAGAGCTGGACAGAGGCCCTAGGCCAACATTTAACAGAAATAGCAGTACACGAGATGCCCCTTTTGGTTCCGAAATAAAATTCAAAAGTGTGCTTGTTGACCTGCAAGGACCGCTCACTCCTAGAGGTCTCTCTGGGGGTGAACTTCCTAATACGCACATCGAAAAAGCCCCGCGATTGTCCAAGGAAATGCACGAAACCACTAAAGGCAGAACTAAGTCAAATAACGTGCTATGCCTCATGCACTTATTGGAGAAACGGAACGCCCCAAGAACGGGAGCCACTGCCGGCGCAGGCCGCCAGCGGCGCTTCCGGGGACTCGACTGGGGTGAAACCGCCGAACCCCCTCCGCCCCCGACAGGGTCGAGCTGTGTAATTTTTACGTTTTAAACACAACTTTATTCACCTTGATCTCATCTATGGAATAAGACACACGGAACGATGCTGTCTTACATGTTTAATGGTAAAGAAAACGAAAGGTTAGACGAGCGGACCCTGGGCACCGGCCACGGCCGGAAAGCAAGCGCCCCACAGGCGGGCAGACCAACTTTTCCTCCTTTGCGAATTAAAGGTAACTGGAAAACGTTCAAGGCAAAGCTTAGGAAAAGGGCCGACCCACACCGACCGGGACAAAACGCTACCAAACACAACCGCCGAACACCAGAGCCAGAACAGGTGAGCCGCGGGCTCAAGGCCCACCCCCTGCGGAGCCCCGACTGCCGGAAGAGGCCAGGCCTCGGCCAGCAGCCGGCGCTGCCCTTCAAATCCCATCGACATCACCCCGTTTTCTCTTCAAGAACATTTCTCCACGGGGAACGGGAGAGACCAGAGTGCAGGAAAATCAAAGATGGGGAACAGGCAACGAGATGGTAAACCTAGGGGCCCCAACCCCTGCCATCCCGCCGCCCTCTCCTCGTCGTCGTCGTCGTCACCACCAAAACATCCCCCAAACGTTAACAGGGCCACCGAGGGGGTTCGAGACCCACGTTGCCACCGACAAACTGGTCCGAAGGGCCATCGCGTGGGTACGTCGTGCCCCAACAGGGCAAAGGCCCTTCTCTGGGAGCCGGGCGCGAGGCCACGGGCAGAGCCGTCAAAGTTTGTTCAGAGCCACCACCCGCCCAGACTCCCGAGCACACTCCCAAGAGCCCAGGGCCACAGAAAGCCAACGACACTCACATCTGTTGAGATCGTAGGAAAGGGCGACGCCATCTGCCCTCGTCACCGGGAGGAACCGTCCGCGAAGCCGCCAGGTAAATCCATTGTGTCACCCACAGTGTTAAGGCTGGCGGGCCCAGCACGAGCTAGGGGGTCTTCGCCAACGGTTATTTTGGCCCCGCCTTCCAACGTCGCTATTGGTTGTCCTCAGTGATGGACAGGTACGCGGTCCACTCGCACCAGTTCTGCAGTGGCCACCTCTGCAGATGTCTTAAAGGTCCCGCTGAATTCTTCCTTGCCCACGGGGGTATGGCTTTTGTACCTGTTACACCCACTCCCAATGTGCGTTTCCACTACTCATACCTTGGCACATACCATATCCTCTACTTCCTGTCACGTCTGATGTTAGGAATGGGGCTCGCACCGTTTTTCCAGGCCTAGCTCGATTATGCCCTCCTCTGGTAACCCTTTCATGCCGGCCTTCTCCCAACCCAACAATTACATGTGAGCTTTTGCTACTAGGTGGGTACCTGGGGAGACATCGTAACTGGCATGCCTGGCAATGCCATGGGCTCTGGGGTCAGACAGCATTGGGCTGGACACAGAATAAAGCCCCAAAGTATGCTTGGAATTTTGGCAAGCTAGCTGAGCTTGTAGCGAATGGGGGCTGGTCCGGGGAAATGAACACCAAAGGTCACTCATAGCAACCACCCAGGATTAATTGCCACCACGAATTCAAACAATTCCCAGCCATCACACCCTACCTTTTCCTCCCTCGACCTTGGAAACCCCCTTTTCGCTTTCAAGATTCAGTGTAAACATACTCTTGTCTGACCCCTTCGTGATTGCATGGTCCCGCCCACACCCCTCTGCAGAGGAAAGATTTCTTCTGTTGCCAACTGCAGGGGTTAAAGACACAGCGCTATCAAGCTATCGCCAGCCGCTGTAACATGAGTTCCATCCCCGGCCAGGGAACACTCAGATATCATCCTAAGTAGTGACTTCATTTAATGCGTTTGCTTAACTCCCCCGTATAGGAATTTACTTAGTTCCTGCAACAAACGTATGTGGTCGGTCGTCTTCTTCTAACCGACATGGCGCAGCAGACCTCTCCTGTCTCCCCGGCTGCTCCCCTCAGCAGTGTATTCCAGTAGATCCGCCTGTTCTGCGCCCCAAGCTGTCTGGTGAATCCTCCCACACACACTCCCCCCCAACTCTGGCCTACACCCCCTTTCTTGTATGCATAAATATATAAAAATCTTTTCTTGAAAAGATTATGTTCGGGGCAAGAGTGGACATAAGTGAAGTAAACACAATTTTGACTTATGAATTGGCCCCATCATTGGCCGTATGTTGAAAATATGTTTTAATTTAGGAAAATTTAACATCTTTATGATTGGGAGTCACCCTCTCTCGGACTGGGATATCAATTCGTGTTTGAGTATTCCTTTGTGTCCCTCTTAGGCATCCCAAACCTTTCTTCGTGTGGTTCTTAAGTTTAAAAAACATGATCTTAGGCATCATTTCCTTTGAATTGCTTTTCTGAATAGGATCCTTACCACCATTTTATATTTTAGCTGGTTATTTTTCCTACATGTAAAAGCTGGTGATTAGTTTATATTAATTTTTTTGTGTTCAGCCACACAATTGAATGGCCGTAATGTGCAATCGTTAATTTCCCCTACACTTTTGAGGCTCTTATTTAGTTATTCCTTTGGTCTATCCTAACATGCATACTTTTATAGAATATTTGGAGAGCATCCAACCTCTCTTACTTCTTTCTGTCTTTCAGTTACTAATATTGATTATTCTCTTTTGGTCGCTGACTATAACAAATTACGACATTTCTTAGCCTTTAATCATCCTTACGTTACCTGGTCATGGTGCATCATTCTCTGACTCTACTGCTCTGGATGTGTTGACTATTTTTTAGGGCTTTTCCATTCATGTTGCAGACCACTACACTTTGGGCCTAGGTGCCAGTAATCCCTGCCTGAGGCGTGCATAAATCAACAGGAAAACATGTTCACAGAACCTCACACAAGGGGTAACGGGAAGTCAAGGGGACACTAAGGAACCAAGAGCAGCAGTGAGCTGCAGGCAGGGAGAGTGTGCACCAGGCAAACTCCTTAGCCCTAGAGCACTTGGACCATCTCCTGTCCAAGCCCAGCAGGATCAGCCCTCACAACAGAGTGCCAGGTAACCTGGGCTCCCCCCTGATGCCCGTCCTCCTCCCTGAAGCCCTGTCCTCTTCCTCGGCCAGCCTTGGAAAACTCGGCCCCGCCCCCCAGGTTCCGACCCCGCCTCCTCCAGCCGACTTTGGCCCAGCCCTTTCCCTGGAGGACCCGCCCCTAGCTGGTCACCCCTTCTGTGTCCCCCTCTTCCAGTATAGCATCTGCGCACTGGCGACTACTCGGCCTTCTTCCTGCCGCTAGGGATCCCGTCTTTTATTTCTTCCTTCCATCTTCCTTCTTCCGTTTGTTTGTTTGTTTGCTTGTTTTTATTTTTTATTTTTTATTTTTTTAAATAATAAATTTTATTTTTATATTCCCGATACAATTGCAACCCCCCCCCATTCTGACCCCAATCCCTCCCCTCCCGCCCCCACCCCCAAAAAGTGTCTCTGGTTCATAGTTTTTTGTTGATTTTCATTTTCACTTTCTTAGAGTTATTCATTTTCCTGGTCCCTTATTTAAGTTTTCTAGATTCCTGCTATGAGTGAGACCATCCGGTATTTTTCTTTTTCTTTCTGGCTTATTTCGCTGAGCATGATCCCTTCCAGCGCCATCCATGTTGCTGCAAATGGCATGTGTTTATCTTTTTTGAATGCTGAGTAATATTCCATGGTATATATGTACCACATCTTCTTGATCCAGTCATCTATTGTTGTTTGTTTTTAAATCTGCCTTATTGCACTGGCTGGAGTCTCCAGTTCAATATTGAATTGAAGTGGTGAGAGTGGGCAGGCTTGTCTTGTCCCTGATCCAAGGGTGTAAAGCATTCTGGCATCTTCTTCTTCTTCTTCTTCTTCTTCTCCTTCTCCTTCTCCTTCTCCTTCTCCTTCTCCTTCTCCTTCTCCTTCTCCTTCTTCTTCTTCTTGAGGCTAGCTATGGTATTTGTGGATGCCTTTCATGAAATCGAGGAGGTCGCTTCTATTCCAAGTGAGATGACAGTTTTTTTTTTTTTTTCATAAGCACGTAACACCGAAATCCTCTCTCTAGGTGTTTACCCTAGAGAAGTGAAAACATGCTCACAAAAAAAATCTGTAATTAAAGTTTACTGCTGATTTATTTGTAACTGCCGGAAACTTTAAAATGCCAAAAGTCCTCGAAAGGTGAATGGATGACCAGACAGTGGTACACACATTCACACAGTGGCAGACAGACTTGAAAGTGGTCCCCGCGTACCCTACTTCCTGCGTATGCTTTTGAGTGTGGGTAGGGACTGTGGCTGGCTTCCAGTCAAAAGAAACGAAAAGGTGATGAAATGTCAATAGTATGACGAGGTTACACTACACACAACTACATCGTGCGAGCACACATTCCCCCTCCTCTGCTGGTCTGAGGATGCAAGCTGTGCTGCTGTCAACTGCCTATGGTGAGGGCAATATAGTAGAGAATTGCCACCAGTTTTAGAAAACAAAAAAAGTAAGAGATTTCTTACGTTTAACCCTCTTTCCACTAACTGGTTATGCTGCGATATTCTTTGTACATTCTGTTCTGGGTTATTTTGGCGACTATTTGGGGCTTTCAAATCATGGCACAAGGAAACCACACCTGCAAACAGCGGTGTATGTTTCTCTGACGGACAGATTCATGAATAAGCAGGGAAAAGAGTTCACAGACCCTCCCTCCAGTGGCGTCCAGAGGCGAGGGTCAGCAAAGGCTATGTACGGTAGGGCCTGTGACAGACGTGCGGAAGGCGGCGGCAGGAGGACAGCTCAATCGGCAAAAGAGGGAGCCCAGCGTCGGGCTTCCAAGCCCCGCGGGCTAGAACCTCAGCGCGCCAGACCAGGGGTCCTGGGCTCCTCACAGGCCCCACCCCTCGCCCTGGGCGGAGCCTCCTGGAGCAGGCTCGGCCCGCCCCTTTCTGCCCAGCGCCTTAGCGCAGCCTCCCCAGCTGCGCCTGCGCACGACCCGGCGAGGCGACCACCCGGCCCTGTGGGCGGGGCCCGCGCAGGCGCCGGGTGCCGCCCACGGCCCCGCCCTCCCCTGGCCCGGGCCCGCCCACGGCACACACGCACTTCCCGCCACGCCTCCCCGCCCACCTCGGCCCAGACCCGCCGAGCCCAGCTGAGCCCCGCGGCGCGATGGACGGCCGAGTGCAGCTGATCAAGGCCCTGCTGGCCCTGCCCATCCGGCCGCAGACGCGTCGGTGGAGGAACCCGATTCCCTTTCCCGAGACGTTTGACGGCGACACCGACCGGCTGCCGGAGTTCATCGTGCAGACGGGCGCCTACATGTTGGTGGACGAGACCCTGTTCTCCAGCGATGCCCTGAAGGTGACGTTCCTCATCACCCGCCTCACCGGGCGGGCCCTGCAGTGGGTGATCCCCTACATCCGGAAGAAGAGCCCCCTGCTCAATGATTACCGGGGCTTCCTGGCCGAGATGAAGCGGGTCTTTGGCTGGGTGGAGGACGAGGACTTCTAGGCGGGGGCGGGGAGACCCCCGGGCCTGGGGGCGGGCCCCGCGGAGGGCCCGCTGCGCCCGTCGCCTGCGGCCGGTGGCCGGTCGCCTCTCGGCGGCCCGTGGGCAGCGGGCAGTCGCCGCCCGGACCGCCACAGGCGTCCTCCCGCCGCGCCTCCCGCTCCCTCACCTTCCAGTCGCCGCGCTGTCCCCCGCGCTCCTGTCCCCTCCCGCGTCGTGCTTGCCTTTGTTCCAGAATAGCGCTCCAGCCTGCCGCAGCTGCCTCTGGGCCTGGCTGCGGAGCGCGCCGCCGCCGCCGCCCCCCCGCGGCCAGCCCGGCCCCTCCCGTGCACGCTGGGACCCTGCGGGGCGCTCCCGCTGCCGTGGCGGCCCCGGTTGCGCCCTGGGCGGACCCCCCGGGGCCGGGGCCGGGGCCGGGGCCGGGGCTGGGGCCGGCCGCTGCCGGGGCGCGCCTGTCAAACTGCCAGGCCTTGCACCAGAGCGCCCAGAGACCAGCACCGCCGCTCCGAGACCAGAGACCAGAGACCAGCACCGTGCAGGCGCCCCCCACGACAGGCTGCTGCCTTCAG